GATGACACCCTGATCAATCACTAGGTACGCTCCTACATCGCGTAATTCTACAGTAGCTTGTCTTCAAGAGCTAAAAACGGAGATTTTCTTAGGTCGGTGAGTTTGATCCAAGTGTCTCTCCCGCACAAAGATCGACGATTTGCTTTACAAAGTGGCTCAATCAAATGAAGAGGAACTTAGAACGAGGAAGCGCGACTAGTCAAAAGGCAAAACAACTCGCACACGGACATGGAACAAAGATGTCGGAGAAGGATGGTTTGAGCGTATTTCGTTGGAAGTGCAAGGGGAGGGGAGAGATGGTGAAGCATGACATGATTGGTTGCGACAGCTTACCCAATTTGACTAGCAAAAACTCTCACACTACCCGTTGTCGTGTCCCGTTCTCCGAGCTTTGCAAGTTTGCCATGTCACTCTCTCTAGTTCGTACATTTGCCCCTTCAGCCGGTCTCGGACGGCGATCAGCATCTGGCATTTCTCTCAAATATGCCAATGCTGCCTATTCGGCTGCACTCTCCAAATCGCCACAGGTCCTGACGAAGGTCCATACTGAGCTCAATGCCATCTCCAAGTCCATCGAGGAAACTCCAGAACTCAAATTTTTCGTCACAAATCCCACCCTCTCCGTCAAAGATCGGTATGCGGGTCTTCCCGCCCTTTACACGCGTGCCGAAGGTACAGGTGCAAAGAAGGAGGCTCTGTCGGACATCACGAAGAACCTTTTTGGCCTGCTTTCGGAGAATGGCAGATTGGCGGAGACTACGGGGGTTATAGAAGGGTTCAATGAGCTAGTGGCCAAGAGCAAAGGCGAACTCAACGTCACTGTCACCTCAGCTACTCCGCTTAGCAGAGACGTTCTGTCCCGGCTAGAGACCATATTGAAGGGGTCTCAAGCCGCGCAGCAGGCGAAGTCACTGAAGTTGACAAATAAGGTACGGTATGACGGCCTATAGGACTCGTGCCGCCTAACTGAAGTTGCTTAGGTGAACCCTTCGGTGTTGGGTGGCTTGATTGTCGACTTTGGAGAAAAGACAATCGACCTCACCATTTCGTCACGCGTCAACAAGCTAAACAACCTTCTTCAAGGTCAGTTTTTTATTTATTCACGCTGTTCCGATCTCATGTTTTGCCTCGGATAGAATCCGTTTGAAGGATTGTAACTTGGGGCTGGTCCATAGATTAGACCAAAATACACTGCATTTCCGTAGCTAACTTACTTCGCGTGATTGAGATAAACAAACGCCTTTGTCACGTGACCTTGGTGGCTCGTCGCGCGAGGCGTGGCGATTTCGGTGCTGGTAGTAAACAATTCACTGCTACTTTTATATTCCTAGTTCAATTTCTACCTCTCTATCTCAGCCGGGACCCAGTACATGTGTGCGCACCGTGAGCCTTCAAAAATAAGATGGGAGGTATTATCAGGTAAGTGTGCGTCGTGCATTGTGCGAGGCTACATCTCGACATCTAGTGCGTTCGTAGACTCGCAGTCATCATCTCACTCGAACGGTAAAAGTCCCTCCGACTTGGAAAGCGTGGATATTGCCATCATTGGTTCCTCATCCAAGCGTAAAGCTGCTTTGCCCCCGATGGGATCACAGCGGCCTCAGAAGATCGCTCGTGCCGACACATCCCATTATCCAGGAAGGTCTGTGAAGGAAACAGAGGCGACTTCACGAACACAAGACACTTTTGAATCTCGTTCAACCACCACTTCACCTATCTCCACGAAGAGTAAGAGAAGGAAGGTGTTGTTGCCGCGGAATCGTGAAGCCCTGCACCCGTTAATTACGCCTCTCGCTCGTACGTTCACGATATCATCGCTGAGTACCTGTCGACACATGCTTGTCTCCAGATAATCCGAGGCAAAACGGTAATCTATCCCGGCCGCGCGACACAGGTCTTGGCTCTGAAGGTGAGCCTTTCTACCCCTTCCATCACAAAGCTGAGGCTGAGAACGGACGTATCTATTCTAAGCTACTCGAATACGACCCCAGAGAAATTCTGTGGAGATTATTGATTTATTATCAGATGCTGATAGCCCACCTCCTGGCGATGCAAACAACCCCATCGTCCTCGACAGCGACGACGACGACGCAGACCAACGAGGCTCCTCCGTTTATCCGTTACTAGAGGCATCTCGGTCTATACCTCGACGCACAAGTATTCACCCCGACCCTCCGTCTGGTTCGAATCACTTGGCACGTTCCCATACTTCGCAGAGTAGTTCTCCTCCGGATACCTCTAATAAAGGAGATGAGTTCCGCGACGCAGAGTCTCCGTCCGTCCAGAGAGCATCCCTATCCCCCCAGCCCGAGCACTCTATACAAGCTGTAGACCAACCCTCCATCGTGAATGGCAAAACAGATCATACGTCATTGCCTATACAGGATAGCTCTGAGATACAAGACAAGATGCCAAACGGAGTTCCAGAGAATACGCGTGAGGTGTCGTCCCCGGTAGCGTCTTCCCCCTCTCCGATGAGCCCCAAGACCATCAATGTGGGGATTTCTGATCGGCTTGCAATTTCACGCATATCTTCATCCCCGAATCGAAGTCATCTCCCTCCAGTTGATGCCTCTGCACGTTCGCCAGGTTGTTCCAGTTCGCGGAACTTTGTATAGCGGGCGATCGGGATTGTGGAAAGGCTTCTTCAGGGTTACAACAGCTGGATCAACTTCTCCTTCAAAACCCTCTCGCGACGTCGACGTAGAGGAAGGTGATACACGATCGAAGGTAGTACCAACCCCTCCGCGTGCCACCTCGCCTTGTAAAATTACCCCGACGACGCTCGTCTCCCTGGCTCAGAACATGTCAATCAGAAGCAGTCCTCCTCCGTCGAGTGTTGACGGAAGGGGTCTAGAAATATCAGACGAACCTACAATTTCAGCTCTGGAGAGTGTTTCTTCAGCCCTTATTGGTGAGCTCTCCCGATGAATCACTTCCTGAAACGCGACGTGTCTCATTGTTGTTCTTTTCACACATACCGTCATCTCAAGTAGATGGTCTCTCCGTCGTTCAGTTCACACCTGCCCGCACGATGTTAGAATTCGCGCCGAGGGTTTTCTATTCTCGAGACATCCCTCATGCGCTTCAAGACCTTATGAACTCCGTAGAAGCTCCTTATCGCCAATCCATCGTAGCGAAGGAAATGTTTGAGGCGGTCGTCTATGAGAACACTTACGAGGATGAGCCGAGTGCCCCGCGTATATCCATTGTCAACGATGTAGATGGCGATCTGGAGGTCACGCCTGCGTGGGAATTCCACTACAGCAATCGCATTTGGCATAGCGACGGTGTGCCTCCACCTGACTTCGCCAACCTTCGTGGGTGCGACTGCGAGGGTTACTGTGACCCGAAATCTCAAACGTGCTCTTGCTTGAAGAGGCAGCAGGAGTATAGCGGACATCTTCCGGGGTTCATCTACGATGATAAGGGTCGGCTGAAACAACGGGGATTTCCGATATTTGAGTGCAATGACCTTTGCGGTTGCCTTGAGGGTTGTCGCAATAGAGTACGTCTACATCAGATCCCTCGAGGCATTGCCAATTTATTCTGCTTGAAGGTTGTTCAGCATGGTCGGCAATATGCTGTCAACATTCGGAAGACGACGAACAAAGGATGGGGTATGTCTCTAAATATCTTTGCTCTGTGTTATTTAAAACCTGCCCCATAGGAATCTTTGCTGGAAGACAAAAAATACCCAAAGGCTCATTCATTGGTATATATGCAGGTGAACTCTTAACTGAAAATGAAGGGGAGGAAAGAGGGATGTACGTGACTCAATTTAGATTGTAATGTTGGTTTCTAACCTTTATTAGCTTGTATAACAAGTTTGGCAGAACATATTTATTCCAACTTGATTTTTATCACCTTCGCCCAACTGAGAATAGTGCTGGTGGTGATGATGATGAGTGGCAGACCAAGTATGTGATTGATGCATATCATGCGGGCAATGTGAGTTCTATGTCCATGGATCCATAATGTTAATTAACTTTGAATGCAGTTCACTCGTTTTCTGGTATGTTTATGTTCATGAAGATGGACCCACTCTAACTTGATTTATGTTTTCCTTAAAACAGAATCACAGCTGTGATCCAAACTGTGCCATGAATGCTTGTTACGTCAATGAAGCCAATCTTGATAAGCCCTTTTTAACCTTGTTTACACGACGTGATGTTTTGCCCTGGGAGGAACTCTGTTTTTCTTATACAGGTTATGACTCTGATGAAGAGGTGTGTCGAAGGCTTCATTATATGTTGTGGCTGTCCCTTATTCTATTATAGGATGATGAAGATCAGCATGTCAATAATGGAGATGCTGTATATGCACGTTGTCTATGTGGGGCCCAAAAGTGTAAAGGATACATGTTTAAGTAAACTATCTGTTGTATGTGGGGGTTCTACAGTATACCGCTGATAATATATTGATTGAAAGTCGGTGGACCCAAGGGTGGCTAGTTCAAAGGCTTCCTTACAATCTATGGAGCCTCAGCACTCAGTGCTCAGCCAATTGTGAAAAGATTGAGGGCTCCATAGAGGTGCTTATGCTGGGTCATGCAGAGAGCGACCCGAGTGCGTCAGTATAACTCCTTTCATCCTCTCCGTTTGCCAGCTTATCAACACGATCCATGTTCTGTGCTTCGCCTCCAGGGAAGCCGACGACGGTGAAAAGGTTTTTGCGCTTACCACATCCACCCGCATAGATGTGCGTTCCATACCAGGCTACTACTAGTAGGCTGGGATGGAACGCGCATCTATGCCAGTGCCCGTGCAGGTGTATATCATCTTCTTTTCCTTCTCTTTCTTCATCCAGTTTTCCGAATGTCGTAAGCTCGACAAGGCTGTGAGCCGGGACACATGCCAGAGCGCGCGGTAAACCAACCATCTGAACCTCGTCCGCTCTGCGAACAGGATACTCGATGCGCAAAAGAAGGCCCCGGAGAATGAGCACTAGACCACGTGATGAAATACATCATTATAGTACTCCTTGAAAGACATAGTGTGCCTTCGATAGCTCAGTTGGAAGAGCGTGGGACTGTAAAGGGAAACACTGTGCGATCCCAAGGTCACTGGTTCGACCCCGGTTCGAAGGATTTTTTGCTAGCGTGGCGATGACGATGACACATCTGGCTGCGAGTCAGTGACCCGGCTCGATGTCTTTCGTCCCATCTCATCTCTTCCCTTACCTTACACCAGACCACTTCCTTGATGGCCGACGTACAAACAGCAGCGCAGGATGACATCGAGGACAGGCCACTGTTCACATGTCTATCATGTTCGATTGCATTTCTAACTGCAGAGGGGCAGCGTACGACCCTATTTTACTCTCGCACTCAGATTGAGCTGATGGCTTTCCAGGGGATCACTATCGCTCCGACCACCATAGATATAACATGAAACGTCGCGTCGCATCACTTCCTCCGGTCAGCGTCGTTATTTTCAATCAGAAGGTGCTCGAGAGAAGGCAGGAGACGGCCGTAGCATTATCACCCAAAGGCTCGACCTGCGAGATCTGCAAGTGGGTGTCACATCTTTTCTGAACTCTTTGGAAGCTGATTGTCAAGCTTCGTCAGCAAAGCGTATACAACTGAGAACGCGTATCGATCGCATATGCTCTCCAAAAAGCACCGTGAGAACGAAGTGAGGTCTCTATCCCGGGTAGACCACCCGGGTCCACGTCCTGCGCCTGCGGTGGCTGCAGCTGCGAAAGCATCATCTTTGGAAGACCGGACTTCTGAAACCTCCGCCGAAACCGCGACGGAACCATCGCCTACCCATTCCGAGTCCACGTTAGGGCAGCCCGACGTTGACGCTGATGATTTGGATGATGAGAATGCCGCAACGTTAGATGAGAAGATTGCTGCAGCACGATCGCGACTTTCTCCACTGCACTGTCTTTTCTGCGCGCACACATCATCATCTTCTTTCGAAGATAATCTCACTCACATGTCAAGCGAACACTCCTTTTTCATCCCCGACGCCGAATACCTCGTCGATCCCACGGGACTCATAACCTACCTCGGAGAGAAACTGGCAGTTGACAACGTCTGTATATACTGCAACGGGAAGGGACGCGAATTCCGCACTCTCGATGCCGTGCGTAAACACATGGTCGATAAAAGTCACTGCAAGATCGCGTACGACACAGAGAAGGACATGCTCGAAACATCGGATTTTTATGACTTTTCTGCTTCGTATCCGGATGCTGAGGAACGACAACGACGCAAAGAGGAACGTCGAGCGAGGAAGAAGAAGGAGAAGAAGGCCGATAATGATGCTGCGGAGGGTTGGGAAGACGTCGAGAATGATGATGACTCGAGAGATGAGGTTGACGAGGTGATCGACGAGCCTTCTTCTTCTTCTTCCTCTTCTTCTTCCTCTTCCGAGGATGAGGACGACAACGAAGACGATAACGAAGGTGGTGCTGACTCTTCGAACTCTGACACGACGGAAAATCTAGTAGCACCCGAAAACCAAATCACATTCGGCGACTCCCACCTCGAACTAGTACTTCCATCAGGTAACCGAATCGGACATCGAAGCATGCGACGTTACTATGCCCAATCCTTCACAACAACAACATCCCGACGAGGTGGTGGTGACGAGGAGAACTCGGGTCGCTCGATCGTGCGCAAGTTGCTGGCCGATAAGCACTCGGCGCTCGTTCCGCGCAAGGGTGGATTTGGCGCGTTTGGCGCTGGGACTGAGGTCGTCAAAGCTCGAAATCGTGGAGAGGCGCGAGAGGCTGGACGTCATGTACGCGAATTCAGAGACCAGAAGCGTAAAGAGGATTATAAAACGCGCGTTGGTTTCGCGCAAAACAACCAGAAGCATTTCAGGGACCCATTACTCCAGGTCAGTTTTTTTCATGCCCTATATTCTGCAAGTGTCAATGTTCATTCAAACTGATTCGCGTTTCACAAATCTCTTTCAGTGATAGTGATAGTGATAGATGTATCATCCTACAAAGTTTCGTGGTGGTGTCGCAGAAGTTCTTTATTGTCTGTCAAGTGGGTCTGTGCCCTGTGAAGATACAGAAGAATAGTAGCGTGAAAAAAAACCGATGTTGTTCGGACCTGTAAAAGTCATTCTCCACGAGAACCTAAACTATAACGGGACTATGCCAAAAGGAGTGTCAGACGCACTAGACGTAGGAAAGACTACCTGTGCGAAGTGATATGGGACAACGGATGAGACAAGAAAGACGATCTAGGTTGGCTGTACCGGATAGCAAAGTTCGAGTATGAGGTATCGTAAAAAACATAAATCGTGAAACGGAAATAATTATAAAAAACCTCTAATACTAGTGAAAGAATAAGGAAAGTTCTCAATATACATACGCTGAAGGGACAACTCCTTCGCTGCCTGTACGAACGTCACGAGCGTACCACCACCTTGATAAGGAGCATCACCACCATTAGCAATGTCAAGCATAGCACACAGTAATTTGGGCACTCACGAGTGGTCGCGATCATCAAGGATCTCAAGCTCTTGCCCAACAACTAGCCGCATCTCGCCCTCCCCTGAACCATCAAACGAATAGCGTGCATGCGCGGGACGTCCGGTCTCCTCGCCACCAAGACCACCGCCAAACGCGTCGGACGGTGTCTCCGCCCGCAAATAATTGCTTGCATCGGGTCCGGAGAGTGGGTCGTGTCCTATAGTCGAGGCACCTGCGTCAGCCGCTGCTGCAGCCTCTCCGCTGATACTGTGGCCTTTGCCCTCTAAAATTGTTGCGCTCGTCGCAGCATTGATATGGGCGAGGAGGGACGACGGTCGATGTTGTGCCGAGTCATCGTCATCGCCGATTTCCGCGGGGTCGAACTTGCTGAGGACCTCATCGCGACGAGAGAAAAGGGTCCAAAGGATACCGAGCAGGACAATAAGGAAAACGATGCCAGCGCCGATGGCAATAGAGATTAGGATGACTACGCCAGTGGCAAGGAAATCTGTTCATGCAAGGTGTCAGTTATCTCGAGATCGCGTGAATGTTGGCAAGACCTACTCCGCTGAGAGAAGCTGAAATTTGCGAGAGAATTGAAGAGACCAGCCACAGACCCTGGGCTGCCGGACGCCGATTCTGAGACAACGTACGGAATAAAGTCTTGGCCGTCAAACAACACCGACGAAGCTTGCCCAAACGACGAAACAAGACTTCCGGACATCAGCAACATCCGATCACCCTCTATTAATCCTTGTGTGCTGTGTTGATTTTGCAAAGGAACCATAGCGAGCTGGGAAACAGTGCTGGTGCCCCCTAAGGAAGAGCCTTGTGATATCCAGGTATGGCCGTTCCAGGCAGCCAAGAAAGAGTATGATCCATCGACAGAACTATATCGATATAAATTGCCCGCTTGCTAATAAGACAGGATACAAACGCACCGTCCGGCAGCAAAGATGCTGCTATAGTTGCGGTTGTTAACTGTTATGGCAGTAACAGGGCCAGGAAGGTCTGCACCATCTCCTATGGTACTCCAACTAGCATTGCCAAATGTAAATTGTAGGACGTTGTCCGAAGACGATCCAGATAGCGTGATAGAGCCACCAGCTACCAGTATGTCTTGATTACTCTGTGCAGTTCATCAATATCTCGATCACAGACGGAGAAGGCTGATGGCTCACCTCTGCGTAAGCCACCGAGGCGATATCGCCTTGTATGCCGCTCCCGAGTGCATTCCACTGCTTCCCCACAACATCCCATGAACAGATCGCGCGGCACTGCAGCGAACCGGCCTGTGCGAACGAGCCTGCAACAATCACTGTGTTCGCCTTCGCTGTTGATGCACTTATCGACCTCACCACAACAGACGCGCCACTCGCCGGCTGCAACGTGGGCACGCCCGATGACGCCCAGGTATTATGCACGAGGTCATAGATCGCGAAGTTTGCAATGCCCGTACTGGGAACCGTGAACTCCCCACCGATAAATAGAGAGGTTCCCTGCACGAGAAGCGCCTGCACCGTACCGTTGATGGCTTGGCCTTGTAATGGAGTAAGTGCACCAGTGGATGGGTAATATATCGCAACCCCGGCGGACTCTGTGTTCCCACTCGTGAAAGTAAGTTACCCCCGATGATTGCGACCTGTTCTGAATTGCTTGTGTTTGTCCAGAACGTGCCGGCGAGAACAGCCGGCGCAGGTGCAGGGGGAGAGGGTGGAAGTGGTGCCAAGGTCGTGCTGGACTGACGCACGAATAGCCGGGATAGTGTTACGTGGCGGGAGATCCAATCGCTTGCTCTGCGGGGGAGATCAGCACGACGCTGATTGGTCGTGGTTGTCGAAGTGGAGACGTCATCGTCAAGTTGCACCTTGAGAGGGTCCACCTCCGGCTCGCCGCCATTCCCGTTCTTGACCAACACAAACCCGCTCGCGCCGTAGCTGAGCGAATCTTGAATATTCCCAGCAACTATCTGCGACTGCTGTTGGCCCTTGGCTGGCGCGGTGCTATTCCCGACAAAAGTTAGGCTGCCTAGCAAGAATCCACCCGTGTTGACCCATGCGTTGTTGCTAATATTCCATACCGCCAAGCCTTGCGATACTCGTCCAAGACTTCCACTGGATGCACTGTTGATGCGTGTGAAATTACCGGCAACCGAGAGCTGGCCATTATCGATGTCGAGGCTCTTGACAGGACCGTTCACGCCAGCTACTAATGGCGACCACTCATTATTTGAGATGTTATACGACGCGATACCGGAGAGGCCGCCTTGTGTAGAGTTCGTGCTGGTCCCTGCGAACGAGCCCCCGACGAAGAGTGTGTTGCCATACAAGGCAAGTGAAGTCACGGGAGCATTAAGCCCACCTCCAGACAGCGCTGTTAAAGCACCGTTCTTGAAAACGACAATATTGTTGGCGCTGGGAGTGCTGAGGTTGAATGTCCCTCCGATGAAGATAGCACCTGAGGGATGATGTGCAACCGCCGCGACCGCAGACCCTGACGAAGCGGAAACGCGGGCAATACCACCAAGACCGTTGAACAAGGAGAAACCAACGACGTCGAGGGAGGTCTGGGTAGTATTCGGGAACCCTGCTGATGCATTCACTGTAGAAGAAAGGGAAAATGGCCATTCCAAAAACCCGAACGAGGTCTTCC